GAAAGAGTACCCTTGACTTTTGAACAACAGGAATGTGAACTGCAGGGAGCCCACTTGTATACGGATGCTTTCAATAGAGTTGGTCCTTTGTATCCACAGGTTTCGAATCTGCGGATTCAACCAAGCGGGGATGGAAAACAGTATTTTACATTCCCAGTGGCAGATTCCCAACCTCAGACCTGTAGTGTAGCTAGGAGGTTGGGAATCTGCGGTTGGGAATGTGAAAATACTGTTTTTCATCTATGCTTGGTTGAACTTGCGGATGCAAAGGACTGGCTGTCATTAAGTTTTCGGGGAGTCAAAAGTTGTACGACGATTTTCGACCGCACTGACATTGGTGCCCCAACCCCCCACACAGTTGTTCAAGGGTCACCTGTATTCACCAGGGTTCTACATTTGCGAGAGTTCTTGAGACAAGGAAATACCTGAATTTTTTAAGAAATTGACAGAACACCTGTGTCAACAGAGCAGCGTGAATGAGAAAAAAAGAGTAAAAGGAACTAAGGAAGGAGCAAGGAACAAGAGCAAGTTCAGGCGGGACCTCACAGCCATGGTAAGACATTTGGATATTTTTCTAAAGTTACGGGAAGCCATTGAAGAATTTGGAGCAGCTGATTGACATGATCTGATTTATATTTTTAAAAGTTTACTCAGGCTATTATGTGAGAATTGATTTTAGGTTAAGGATGGGGGCTGGGATTCAGTTAAAGAGACCAAAAGTGGAGGTAAGGAGACCAATTAAAAGTTTATTTTCAGGTTCAACCGAAAGATGTTGGTGTAACAAGGTGGTAAAAAGTGGTTAAATCTAAATACGTTTTGAATATAAAATCATAATTTGCTGGTGGATAGGACATAGGATATGTAAGGAAGAGAAAAGTAAAATACATCTTAAAGCCTGAGTAACTAGGTGATTTTCTGAGATGAGGAAACTGTGGATGGAGAAAACTTAAATGCATATTACTAAGCAAAAGAAGCCAATCTTAAAAGACTGCATATTGTATGATTCAAACTATACGACATTCTGGAAAAGCAAAACAATGGAGATAGTAAAAAGATCAGTGGTTGCCAGAAGTTGGAGATGGAGGGAGGATAAATAGGCAGAGCACGGAAATTTTTTAGGGCTGTGAAAAATACTCTGTGTGATGTTATAATAAGGACATGTCATTTTGCATTTGTCCAAACCCATTGAAGGTACAACACCAAGAGTGAACCATAATGTAAATTATAGAATGATTATGATGCGTCAATGTAGATTCGTCAGTTTTAACAAATGTGCCACTCTTGTGGGGGGATTTTAATAATGAGGGAGGCTATGCATGTGTGGGGGCAGGGGACATAAGGGAAATTTCTATACCTTCCCCTCAATTTCTCTGTGAGCCTAAAACTGCTCTAAAAAATAGTCTTAATTAATAATTTAAAAAAATAAACAGGGACTAACCAACAGAAATTATGTTCAGTAAAGGTTCTTTGTAAACTAAGAAAACAAAAAGCCAAAAGAACTGTGAGGAAAGCTTCTGTATGGTGGGGAGTGTAGGATAAAGAGTTTAAATTTGAACCTCATAAATCGGAACAGCCTATCAGTCATCCAAAGGTGATATTGCCTGGTCAGTTGAATATATAAACCTGGATTTCCTGGAGAATATATGGCCAAAGTTATAAATGTGAGAAATACCTGCCTTTAGATGCTACTTAGAGGTGGGGCACTGGGTGAGATAGTTTACTGAGTGAGTGTGCTTAGAGAAGAGAAGGAAGCTGAGTAGGGAATTTCTGGACAGTCCAACACCTAGATGTCATGATCAGGAGCTCCACCCAGCAGAAGGGCCTGAGAAGCCAAGAAAGATGGTGAAATAGGATATTTAACTGAAGCGTGTGTTTCAGCAGTGAGGAAGTGTGTCAAGTGCTACTGAAAGGTTGGGAATGATGAAAACTGAAATTTAACTATTGGATTTGGGACCATGAAGTTTACTGACACTGTTAGGAGCTGTTACAATGGAGTGATGGGAAGAGAAGTATGATTACAGTGAGTTAAAGAGAAAATGGAAAAGGAAAAAGCAAATTTGGGGTTCTGCTACAAAGTGGAACATAGAAATGTGACAGTAGCTGGAGGGGGAGATAGGGTTAAGGATATATATTTTTTAAGGTAGAGATATAGTATGTTTCTTCGTAAGCTAATAGGAATGATCCAAAAGAGAAGTGAAATTAATGAAAAAATGGAATAATTGCAAGAATAAATTCCTTGAGGTAAGAAGGAATGGGAACCTGTGGATGTGTGGACGCTCCAGCTTGAGGTAGTAATTCTGAAAATTTATCCACTATAGTGGGAAAGAAAGCGAATTATATACCTACAGATGTCACTAGGTTGGTAGACATGGTGATGGGAAAATGGGAATGTTCTTGTTGTTTGTATTATTGCAATGAAGTAGAAAGCAAATCACTAGCTGGGAGAGAGGAATGGTAAGAAAGTGGAGATTTGAAGAGAAAAGAGCTGATATTAAACAGCCTTCATACATGGAGCTGAGAATTGACCAGAGAAGGGAAGCAAGATTTTTTTTTCTAGGCAGTGTTGAAAGCCCACTTGTAGTTATAAATATAGAAAGAGAATAAGCCAAAGCTAAAATCTTTAGCAAATGAAAGAAGTGACCAGATCCGTAGATAATTGTACCAGGACAGGTGTTAGGTGCTATAATTTGATGGCACGAGCTCCAAAGGAGTTGGGTTTGTTTGTTTGTTTTTAGGGAGGAAAGGAAAAGGGCCTGGAAGAGGAAGTAAGCTGAATATTTTTCGAAGACTGGGCCCAGAGTGCAGAGATGTGTTCTCAAAGGATAATTATTTTAGTTAATGCAAGAACATAATGAGAATATTCACAAAAGAAGTTAAGAATATAGAGGATTTTGTTGATGGTGGACACAAAGGAAGTGTCTAGGGCAGGGTTCCCTAACCCCCTGGAACTGGTACCAGTCCGTGGCCTTTTAGGAATTGGGCCTCACAGCAAGGGGTGAGCAGTGAATGAGTGAGTGAAGCTTCATCTGTATCTGCAGATGAAGCACTTATTCTCCTTCTATATTTATAACTACGGGTGGACTTTCAACACTGCCTAGAAATAAATCTTGCTTCTCTTCTCTGGTCAATTCTCAGCTCCATGTATGAAGGCTGTTTAATACCAGCTCTTTTCTCTTCAAATCTCCACTTTCTTACCATTCCTCTCTCCCAGCTAGTGATTTGCTTTCTACTTCATTGCAATAATACAAACAACAAGAACATTCTCATTTTCCCATCACCATGTCTACCAACCTAGTGACATCTGTAGGTATATAATCCACTCCCAGCACTAGCATCATGGCCTCAGCTCCATCTCAGATCATCAGGTATTAGATTCTCATTGAAGCGCTGGTCCCTGGTGCCAAAAAACTTGGGGACTGCTGGTCTAGGGCTCATTGAATAAGTAGTAAGAGATAAGATCAGAATGGAAGATGTCCAGGAACAAGTGGAGAAAATTGTCATGGAGAAGAGGGGTGACTTAGGAGCCATGGACTTCTGGGGTAACTGAGCGAAAAGCTACAAGGTGTGGTGGATCTAGTCCTGGCATTCAGTTAGGGATGAAAGGTAAACAATTCTCATTAATGCCTCCTTCTTAGGAATAAGAAAATTATAGGAAGTTTGTGGCATGGGGGATAGGGAGAAGCTAGTGGCAGTGGGGAAGGGGCAGAGAGGAGTGCTGGTCTCACAGGAGCACATAGAAATCTGCAGTCCTCCCCTTCAGTCTACCTGTGGACAGTGTCTTCTGCAGGCTGGAGGACGTGGAGGAGAAGAGAACTTATGAGGAATGTGGAGTAAACTATTCCATTTCTTGCCACCATTGATTTTTATTCTTTTCTTCACCTTATATTTCAGAAAGTATTTTCTGATCGTCCAAGTCTAAAATTCTACATTCACTTTTAGCATTGTAGTGTACCACTGAGAATGTACAATAGAGGACAGTGGTCTAATTTCAAATTGCTTAAATGATATAGTTTCTCAGCTCCCTGAAATGAATCTCATGGAATTCATAGAAATTAAATAGACAGGAATCTGTACTGTGGTGACCCATTCCCTCTCATGGACTGTTTTTCTTCTTTCTGAACTGAATGCTTCTTTGATTTTATGCCTACTGATTAATACCTACATAGCAATTCACTTCTGACAAAATCCAGTCTATATTGCCAAAGTGTTTCACTTCACATACTTGCCAGTTGAGGCAGCGGTAGAATCCGAGGTGTTCATAATGTGAATCATTACTTAATTCAAATTTCTAATTCATTCAATTGCTGAAGAAATGTCGAGAGACTGTGGAAAGTCTGCTTCTCTTTCATAAAAAGTGCAAAATGAAGAATTAAGGGTGGGGAGGTATTATCACTTAAATGAGTGTTAACAGATTTTGGGACTTCACATACCTCTATCATTTTTAAAAATTAAAAATGGAAAAGTGGACACAGGGTCATCAACCATTAAAAAAACTACTGACACCTATTTTCACCAACATTTCATTAAAAATTGGTGTTTTCACACTTTAAAAAGTGACTACATTTCACATTATGAGAAACATATCACATTGTCCTCATTTTTTCTTCTTTATATCATGTACTCATGAAAACAACAAGTTGCAGACCAGAATCAAAGAAACTTAATTAGCTGACCTTTGAGCCCTTACAAACATGATAGGCCAAGATAATATTATTTAGTAGTATGAAAAATTGTGTATTTGATTCTGTCTGCTTCTTTAAGCCCACTTAGAGCTTCAGTAAATTTTTCAGAAATGATATCATCTACATCTAGATGTCTCTCTATATATTTACTTTGCTGCAGCATCTTCAAGCATTGCTACGAGATCTGATATAGCTAGCCCTTGAGACTGTCCAATATAAATATATTTTAATGCAATAATTTGGTAAAATTTCTTTCCAAATGGTATCTTTTCAGTGATACCATTGAAAGAAAATTACAATAAAAATCATGCATAATTTGTCTTAAGTTTAATATTTTCTCTTTATGATATTCCCTAGTATTTTTGTGAATAGGTTTACATTTTTGAATGCTGTCACCATAGCATACATGAGCACACCTATTAGCATAAAGGATGCTCATAAAAAAGAGAGCAAATTCACTGAGTCGTAGATTCTCAGGTCTATAAAATACCTAAAAGTTCATCAATTTTAACCCCACTGAGTGGACACTTGAGTTTTCTTTATAGCCTTACCTTAACAATATCTAGTGATGGGGAATTCAATATTTCTCCATGAAACTCATTTTATTATCTGCCATCACTAAAGTTAACTTTATTTTTCATATATATAGTTTCTTGTAATTTCTACACATTTATCCTTTTTCTGGACTTGAACCACACAGAGAAACTTATTGCTTTTTCATATGATGGCTTTTCAACCTCATACATCATTCCTCCTCTCAGGTTCTCTCCAGACTCAATATCTTCAGTTTTTATGGTTACCACTCCCCTAATGTTTTCAAGCCCACTCAATAGTCTGGATTCTTTCCATAAAATGTTTTCCCATTTGTCAG